GCAGCCTGATTGTAAGCTTCCAGGTACCTGTTTAGAAAAAAGATAAGATCATTAGATGTAAGTCATGCGGGTTAAACAGCGTCCACTCACTGCATCTTTGCTTTCTGTGCCTTCTCAAGAGGAGTGTCTGTCCATACGCTCGTATCTCCTCGCCCAGTCTTCTCAGTCTTGCTAAAGAATGTTGAATGCATGCTCGGAGGTCCAGCCTGTAGACATAGACATCATATTTTATGTGCTACTGGACGCACCGCAGTCCATTGAATGAAGTTACCTGTCTTTCTGGTGGAAGAACAGTCATCCATTCGTCCCGACTTGGAGCTTTTGGCGCTGTTCCAAGAAGCTCATCATCTCCAGCCAACGCTATTTCGCCTGTAATGGACTCGAAGTTCTAAGCTCACAAAGAGAAAACAAAAGTGGAATAGTACCTCGCATGCGCCTCCACTGAGCAGCCTCCCGAAGGGACCGCAACTCAACCTGCAAAATCAAGACCGTCGGTGCATGTCACATAGCCTCAAAATGCCATAGTACCTCCTCTTCCTCCTTTCTTTTCCTTTCGGATATAGTGTGGTCAATTGCCGCTCTCTGTGGAATGGTATTAAGCATTTTAGTCACGACAGGAGGCTTTCGAATGTTTTTCATACCTTTACAGGATCTTGAAGCTCTTGGAATGCTTTATTTATGGTTGTAAATGCATCTTGTGCGTGAGGATGAGCGCATTTATCCGGGTGAACGAGGAGCGACAACTTCCAGTACCTGAGAAAAGATACACAAATCACGACTTGAGTGAAGGAAGAAAAAAGAAAAGCGAACCTTTTCTTGATCACTTCTGCAGTTGCATCTGGCTTGACGCTCAAGATGTGATACGCATCTCTCATATCCGGATCCAGTATTCTAGTGACCTGAATAAAAGGTTCCTCAAGATATAACCAACATGGAGAAGAAACATACCTCTTCAAATCGCTCAGCTTCATTTACAGATTCTGCCTCGGCAACAATTGCGGGCGGAGGAGGACCAACAAAAGGATCTTGGTCCAGTTCTTCTTCCGCTTTTCTGAAATACAAACTTATACTATATCGAAATAGCTTTTCAGAAAGTCACCTCAAAGCATCCTCGGCCTCTGTTACTCTTGCTGCTGCCGCCAACATATCTGGAGTCGGCATAGTCGGACCTATCACCCTGCAAGAGATAGAAAGATAAAAAACGAGCGTTTTGCAAACTAAACACGACTACCTGGGAGCCGGAGGACGTTCTGCGGGTCCAATCCCATGAGACTCTTTTCTTTCGATCGCTTCCTCTTCTTCTTTTGGAGCAGCATCAGGCACGCCTTTCAAAACTTCTGCCAACGTCGAGAGCGTGGGATTCGACCCTTCAGGCAGTAAGTAAACTCGATCTACCTTCGAAAGTTTCAGCGCTTTGAACAGCTTGAAAAGAAGCTCTCTAAGTTTCTCGTCCGGGATGCCACTAACATCGACTCCTTGGCCACTATCAACCATATGGAGAAGCTGAGCCAAAAGAAAGAAGAGGCGAAATTAGGATTGATCGAAGCTTTGCTAGATAGGAGAAGAATGCTGTACCTGCTTGAGCTCGCCGGAGAGTGCTGGAAACTCGAGGAGAATTTCGTTTGCCACAATCTCAGGCGCCACCAGTTCTTCATCACCGCCATTTACTTCCAGACTCCTGCTCTTGCTCTCTAAATCATCCTTCCTCTTCCTCTCCTTCCTCTTCTTCTCCTTCTTCCTCTCCTTGCGCTTCCTTCTCCTTCTCTCGTCCTCACTGCTGCTGCTATAGCCACTGCTGCTGGCTTCCTCGTTGCTGGATGGATCGCAATGTCTACCTCGTTTCCGGTGTTTGGATTTGTGACGCCGCGCCTCCTCATCGTCCGAATGCCGCAGCTTCCTCCGCTTCTTCTTCTCCCGCGCCATACCCGACCTATACTTACAAACCCTAAATGCAATAAAAAAACACTTTCAACCTTTATGATCTAATGGCTTAGATAACTTTGACAGTCAATGAGAGTCAATGGAGTCAACGCTTTCGTTTTTCTAAGTGAATCCATCACTAAACAAGCAAACTTTGATTGGAAGCTGGGGAAGGGCTTTGAAACTAGACTACTCTTTGATTTGGCTGAGAATCCGCCGGGTTTGCGACGACTTGCTCTCGCTCAGTGCTTGCTCGAGCTGCGCACAAATCTCTCGCAGCGTCTTGTAGTCGGCCTGCAAGTAGTGAACTTTTCTCGCGGGCGGTGATGGATGATCCACTCCTCGCAAAAAGCTGGGACTAGAGGTTGTAAGCTTGAGCAGGAACGATGGTCGGGATGGGCTGTGTGATCTCCGGTTCGCAACCTGAAAAACTTTGTTCTTCAGCTTCTTCTTCCAAGACAGACAGAAAACAAATAATCGTACCTCCACATCGAGCCTCCACTCGAGAGACTTGTATATCGGAGCTGTGACGAGCGGGAAAGAAACCACCGATCGAATCGATGGGAGCTGCTCGCTGTAGAAGCTGGCTATTGTCTCGCTTACTTGATCCTGGTAACCCAATCTAGCGAGGAAATCCACCATGCGATCCCCGGGAACGTTGAGCTTGGCAGCACGGGCAAGAGCTCGAGACAATAGCGAGACAGTGTGGCGGACGTCTTCCTCGTTGGTGTTGAGGCGTCTGGCAGCCGCGGCAAACCCTTTGGAGCTCGGAGCCAAATTCTCCCCTCCTCCTCCGGCAACGATATTCTTCACAGCCACCCTCGCGAAATCCAGCGCCACTGCAGTAAAACTGTGAGATAGCGCGAGCGATAGGAACAAACACATACCTTGGGGATCCGAAGAACACGCTGTCATCGCCATAGCTCGCTTATGTAGTAAGCAAAATTTAACCTTTAACCGGGTTTTACCATTTTTTAGAGGGAAAATACAGGATCAACGTGATCCTTGGCTGCCGCGGTCTATAGCTCTTACGTAAGTGTGAGTTTGAAATACTTTCCTCTTAGTTCTTGTCCAAGATTGGGCGCTTAATGGCAGAGTAGACAACTTTGATGACTTCCTGGTTTGCATTTTCCGTGAACACTTCTTGATCGAGTTTCTCGATCATCTGCCAGACCTGTCGAGTGAACCGTTTAGAAAGGCAGAGACCAAGTTCTAGTAGCCTACCTCTGCGGCGTACTGGCGACAAAATGCCTCAAGGTGTCCCATCGTGCATCTTTGCCAGTGCTTGAGCTCCTCGTTCGGATGATCTTCCCCCTTGCTTGCCACACTGGTAGTGATTCCAGCGTTAGGGAAGAATTCAAACCGATTTTTTGTACCTTTCATTCTGGTTTTCGTTGTTCTCGTTGTTATTGCCTTCTGTTGCAGCTGCAGAAGGATCAGCGTCGACATCCATAGGTTCCGGCTCCGCAGTATCAGCACCATCAGCGTCACTTTTTGAAAGCTTGGAAGATATAGTTGACACAAGGTTCTGGAACACCAAACACACAAGCGTCTGCATTTAAACTCGGTATGTTAGCGAACGTTTTAAAAAGGAAAACTAAAGGTCATACGTCTTGCTCCCTGAGAGCTCCCGAGAGTAAAGCCTCCTTCGTTTCAAGTAGATCCTGAGCAGCAGTTTGTCGACCTCTTGCTTTTACAACCGTCGTTTTGACCCACTCCATCTTAGACGTAGCTTGTTTCCGTGCATCGTCAGTCTCGGCCGAATCAATGAGCTCTTGAACGTTCGATCGGTTTCTTTCGGCTTTGCTAACTGCTCCATCAGCTTCGTCTAGTGCTCTTTTAGCGTTTACCACATCCCTTTGAAGGTCTGCGGTGCGATTGCCTGCCTTATTGATTGCATTTCCCAGAAGCTGAAACACAGGAAAAACTGTTAATCATAGTCCAATATCCTTCGTCAAAAAACGCCTACCTCCCAGACCCGGCCAGAAGTGTGAAAAGTTTGAACGTTTTCGTCCTTAAAGGACCACCTGATAACTGCCAGATTGGATACCAACCTGTAGCCCATCATGCGGTCCACCACAATCGCGATCATTTGAGATGAATTCTGCCAGAACCTGGCAACCTCGTCGATCACATGTACTTGTAACGTCTCATCTGGTGCAAGCGTAGCAATGAGTTGACCATATCTCTCGAGCACAGTGACCATGTGTGTGAAACTTTTTGACCCCAAGTTGAGAAGTGTTTGAAGAAGGATCTCGATTGCAACTTTTTGACCAGCAGCAGGAACAATCTTGCTTTCAAACCACGACTCTATGTCTTTCATTCCCTTCTTTGTTTTGATCTGTGCCAGTAACTCAGAAGCAAACCCCGTCTCTGTCTCCAAACCTTCTACTTGGTTGTCCCGACTAAATCTGAACTCTGGAGTGTTTTTTGGAGGAAGCAAGTCACAGAGCTTTGGAGAATCGTCCAAACTCTGCCATTCAGATTTCACAGGTGAGAAAAGCTCCAAAGCATTGTCAAATTCCTTGCCTGTTTCACTCTTTCCCAATATGACAAGCGAACTTCCTTCTCCAACGTCTCCTGAACAAAGACTCGTTGAGGTGACCATGCCGGTTGCTCAGCAACGTGAGCAAAATCGCTCCATGGCCAGATAAATTGAAAATTAGACCTGCGAGCAGCCTGTTAAAACCATGGAAGCAAAATCAAAATATAGGACTGTACATGTGATGAGAAAGCCATGTGCTGAGACGAGATCTGCATTCAACATCTAGCTCACTAATTCTGCTGAACAGATTTCGTACGACCGCAGCAAGCAAGCCCGGAAAAGAACCAGGTAAAGCCTGCAAGATAGAAAAAAAAAAGTAAGAAAAGAAAGCTTGATAACAGGGGGGGATTGGAACAAAGCTAACCTTGCAGAGATCAATAATAACTATAGTGTAATAAATCAGCTTAAAAGGAGGCTTGGGAAGTAAAAGCATCTGGCGGAGAAACAAATATCAGGTTTGTAGACGCGAATAAACTTCTTACCTGTCCGAAAACAACTTCAGCCATAAGGTAGTCGTAACGAAATGGCACAGGCAGCCCTACCATGAAAGCTGCGCATTCTTTGCGACTAAACAAGACGATCCGGTAATTACAGAGATTCGAATGGTAGCTTCCACGTACCTCCCATTCAAGTACAACATTATATCCAGCAAATACTCTTCCACAATGAAGCAATCGATAGGGGCCATATCCTAGAAAAACAACAATTAGTACGAGGAAAGAGAAGAGTTATTTCAAGTACCTTCTCTGAATTTTCTGGAGGAAAAACCCGCAAACGACCGGTTCTTTGAGGGTATTTGGTTTCCGCTTCATGAGTTTGCCTCCCAAAAGCCAAATCCTTTGGACCAGTATGTGGTTTTGGTATAGCTGGGCAAGCTAGAGCCTTCAGCTGGTGAAGGGTCTGAGACGTCACTAGTCGAGATTCGAAAGAAGCATATGGCCTCGGAACTGGCAAAAGCATAAACGATTAAGAAGGTCCAATTATTTTTTAAGGAACAGACCACTGTCAGCTTTCCATCCAGCTTGTTGCAATTGTTGTGTCCTGGACCAAAACTCCTGTACGTAGTCCTGTATGAAAACAGCTTTAGTGCGCGCAGACGAAAGACTTTTCGAACAGTACTTGACCCGTGATTGGAGAAGTTCCACTAGAATCCACGTAGAAAGGAGTGAGTAAGGAATCCGGTCTCTGCATTCTAAGGCTAAAATATGCCTCTACAGCAGCCATAACCCGCTCAAGCTCCTCCGGAGCTCGCTACAACAGAGAAAAACCATCTTCTTAACCATGATGCCGGTATGAGGACACAACATTACCTCTTGCAGCTCGAATCCACACCAAGGAAGCGATGACAGGATACACGAAACGTAGAAGTCAGCTCGCGGCTGCCAGGCCGGGTTTCCAACTTCTTCATCAACAGTAGTTGCGGCTGAAGACAGGAGCGTTTCAAACACTTCAACGAGGGAGGTGGACGAGATGACGTTATTGCACATCTAAAAGAGAAAAAAAAAACCATAACGTCTGAGAAACTAGCGAAGAAAAACATATATCGACCTTACCAACACCGCCAGGAACCGTAAAAGTATTCTCAATCTGTTACAATCCTCGGTATTGAGTGCATCCTGACAGGAACGAGCTGAGAATTCCTCAAGAAAATGAAGAAGCAAGAATTTACCTGGAGCCGACTGTGAACTCTCTCAACGATTCGAGAAACAAAATTTGCCTCCTCTATGTTCGTGAGACCAACCTTCACGAAAGAAAACAGATGAGCTCTCCACTAGATTCTCGGTTTTAAGCTTACCACAGCGCCATAAAAGGGCAGCTTGTGTGGAAGCTCCTCGGCACACTGGATCAAAACCTGCAACACAAGGCTCAGGCCAAAATGTCCAGGCGCATCACTCTCCGCAGACTTACATCGAGAATCTCGTCCTCGTACTGCCTCAAATCCCTCGCGATGACCATGGAGCACGTCTCCTGCGACCCCGGATGAACGAATGCCTAGCGATGGAAGAAACTTACAATGTGCTCGTCAGCTTCCGCCTGCCCATACTCGGGGCAGCGATCGCCAATCCGGATCACGTAGCCGCGCCAAGACGCGTCCGCCTCGCTACTCCCCATGCTACTCGCGACCACGAGCCCTAACCCTCGGAAGAGGTTTTAGCCAACGGCTGTGATCAACTTAACGGTCGGAGCATATTCTTCCAATTAAACTAATCTAATCATGATTAGACTAACCCATGGTCCTGTGGTCTAGTGGTCAGGACACTGGACTCTGAATCCAGTAGCCCGAGTTCAAATCTCGGCAGGACCTGTGGAAGTTTCAGTACCTTTTGTTTGGTGGCAAAAGATCCACTGCTGGGGAGTAAATGCCAATAAATTTCAGGCATTCTTTAGACCCAAAAAGAGTCACAAAAAATATCCTCCCAATTCAAAGGGGGGGATGGACAACAAGAACAAGATCAGAACACCCCAAGCTCTATCTCTAGAGATTGATTTTAGGTTTAGGGCTTGTGAGTTCTCTCTCTTCTACCAGAAAACTTGTCTTGGTTGGTCCTTTGCTGGCTATTACTGCAGACAGTCTGATGTTGTAGCTGCATTCAATTCTCTCATTTAAAGTCTTGTGGGTGCAACAAAATGCCACACAGGCCAGGGCATTTAAAAAAAAGGCAGGTCCTTTTTTAACAGTGGAATAACTGTAACCTAGATTCCATATTCCCTCCCCATAACCCTAAGATTTGGAGATTTTCCCGGGATTGATTCTTTGAAAAGAATCCAGTGGATGACAGCTTGGAGATGTGCGCGAAGTTGCGACCTCGCGAAAAAAAAAAAAAAGAGACACGCTCCTACCTAGCTAACCCGACGTGCGACGCGTCTTTAGAAAAAGTTGGGGTTTGCCAGGACGAAGAAGATCCAAAACTTGGACTAGAAAACAGGACACACCCCTCTTTTCAAACGAGAATCCTTAGAAATTGCGTGAAAACCATCATCCCCATCGTTGATTTGCTGCATGATTGCGAAAGTCGCTAACGATCGAGTGTATGTGTGTGTTGCTGCCACCGCGGGGAAGAATCCTATCCCATGCCAGAGCAAAAAAAAAAAAACAAAAAAAATTCCAAATAAAAAGTTGGCATTCCAAAGAAGAACGCGTTAAAGAACACTCAAAAAAGATCAAGCGAGGGGAGTGAAGAAGAGAGAGCGTGGTTTTACATAAATTAATACGCTCGCGAGTCAGTCCAGCTGCCTGCCCGGCCTGGCCGCGCTAAAGTTTTCATTCACGGTTTGCGTGGTTCCAGTTTCCAGGCACACTGGAAACAGTGGTCGCAGAGCTCTGATCCATTGATCCATCGACAACACCAGCGAGAGAAGAAGAGAAAGAGAAAGGAGGTGTTCTCTCTTAGATCTTCCTCTCTTCTAGAACTTTAGAAAGCTAGATCGACAGAGATAGATAGATCGATCGATCGAGTGCTATAGACTGTAAGAACGAACAGAGGAGAAGAGCTCTCTCGCGAAAGGATATGCAATGGAGCGGCAAGAACATCAAAGGCTTCTCCTCCCTCTTCTACTTCTTCTCGTGCTAGGAGCTTTCTCGCGATTTGGGTCAGCGCAGCGAGGGTCGCTGGTGGGCGATGAGTTTGCGGCGATTCAAGCGTGGAAGAGGGCAATCACATCCGACCCTGGCAACGTAACCGGCTCGTGGATCGGGCCGGATGTGTGTAGCTACAAGGGGATCTTTTGCTCGCCATCGCCAGACAATGCCTACGAGCGAGCGGTCACTGGCATCGATCTCAACCACGCGCGCCTCTCGGGTCGATTGGTCCCCGAGCTCGCCAATCTCAAGTACCTCGCGCTCTTCCACATCAACACAAATTTCTTCCGCGGCACCGTCCCATCCTCGTTCCGCCGCCTCGCCTTCCTCTTCGAGCTCGATCTTAGCAACAATCTCTTCTCCGGGGTGTTCCCATCGGTGGTTCTCGAGATCCCCAGCCTAGCCTACTTGGATCTCCGCTACAATCTCTTCATGGGCTCTGTTCCACAGGAGCTCTTCCAGCGCCCTCTGGACGCGATCTTCATCAATAACAACCGCTTCCAGTGCGAGATCCCGGAGAGCTTTGGATCCTCGCCCGCCAGCGTGATCGTGCTCGCCAACAACAACCTCCAGGGCAAGATCCCGGCCAGCATCGGCAACATGTCGAGAACGCTGGAAGAGCTCATCATCCTCAACAACGAGTTCTCTGGCTGCCTCCCATTTGGCACTGGGCTCCTCTCCTCGGCCACCGTCTTCGATGTGAGCTTCAATCTCCTCGGGGGCGAGCTGCCCACATCCATCTCCAGGATGGGTCGCGTCGAGGAGCTCATCCTCGCGCACAATCTCTTCACTGGCCCCGTCCCGGCGGCGATTTGCGACCTCCCCAGCTTGAGGAACCTCTCCATCGCGGACAATTTCTTCACCAGCGTCAGCAGCCACTGCTTGCGATCGAGAAGAGGTATCGTGTTTGATGATTCGGGCAATTGCATCGCGGGCCAGCCAGCGCAGAGGCCCGCCGACGAATGTAGGTTCTACAAGGAGGAGCCACTCTCGTGCTATCCCACGCCATTCATCCCATCCCCTGTTCCAATCCCAATCCCCAAGTCGCCGCCTCCATCGCCGCCACGGGCATCACCGCCGCCAGTGATTGTTCCTCCATCGCCGCCACCAGTCCAATCACCCCCTCCGGTTCCAGTCCATCCACCATCGCCACCTCCGGTCCAATCGCCGCCTCCTCCTCCACCAGTTTACTCCCCACCACCGCCACCACCGCCACCCCCGCCGCCAGTTTACTCCCCACCTCCGCCACCACCTCCCCCACCGCCGCCACCTCCAGTCTATTCACCGCCGCCTCCACCACCGCCTCCGCCTCCTGTCCACTCACCACCACCGCCACCGCCCCATTTCTACTCTCCTCCGCCGCCACACATTTACTCCTCCCCACCACCACCTCCGCCTTCACCATCGCCACCGCCGCCACAGATTTACCCCTCGCCTCCTCCGCCATCACCCTCACCACCACCACCAGTGGCCCACATTTACCCCTCACCACCGCCGCCATCGCCTCCCCTGGTCTATCCCTCCCCACCACCACCATCACCGTCGCCGCCTGTTTACCACTCACCACCGCCACCGTCACCGCCGTGCGATAACGAGTGGATGCCAACGCCGGCGCCTCCTGGGAAGTCGCCTCCGCCGCCGGCGCCACAGTATCACTACGAGTCACCGCCTCCTCCATCGCCACACTACTATTTCTCGCCGCCACCGCCATCTCCACCCCCGCCTTATCACTCCCCGCCACCTCCGCCGCCTCCACCACCACCACCATCGTCACCAGATAATTACTACCAATATCCATCGCCGCCACCTTTTGCGCCGCCACCTCCAGAGTATAAGAAGTGAGATCTCTAGAAAGCTTTGAGAATGGGAGAGGAAATGAGTGGTGGAGTTGGATCAAATGGGCAACAAGGAAGATTTGGAAAAAAGATTTTTTGGGGGCACTGCTGCTGTTACAAACACACACTCACACGAGCAGAGATTTTGAGCCAAAGTCACACTTTGTACGTAATTTTCTCTTACGATGCTCTTCGTTCCCTCGGGGATAGTTGATGACGAGCAAAGAATAAAACCAAGATCTCTTTTGTTTGATGTGTTTTTCAAGCGGTTTCGATGTTCTTCTCTAGAGCAGTCAAGCTATCAAGTTTGTTGATCCATCTAGCGACGATTTCAATTTGCGCTCACCACCATCTTTGCTTTTGTAGTAAGCTTTTCATCCTGCCATTGTCTGGGAATTTAATTTGGGTACTTGCAACTTTGACAAGCAGCAATTATCTTACGAAAGTCCAGTGCTCCAATTCAAACCGAGATCTCGATACAGAAGTTACGATCGATCGAGTAAACGACTCTTGCGCGAAAAACGAAAAAAAAAGAAGAAGAAAAGAAGAAGGAATTATTTAGAGAATACCTCGAGACGTGCAGCGTTGTCGAGGAGATGCCGGTCTCCACATGTGCCTCGTCCACAAATCTCCTCGGCGACGTAACAAGGATGGATGGGCTCTTAGACTAAACAACTTAGAAAAACATGTCGCTAATCCGTGCTTTTGTTGCGCTTGTCGCCATTCACCAATGCTGGTGCACAGCTTTAGGCAGGACGAGCGTCAGGAAAGCCCGTGGCTCCAGCTTTTCTCATCCGATCTCGCGATCTCACCATAATTCTCCGGACAAAAGTCATGGCGCGAGAAAGAAGATGGGAATTCTTTTTCAAAACAATCTAAGCAGAGTTTAGAAAGGAGCAAACCGAATTTCCATGGCTGTGGACGAAGAGCGACCCACACTTTCCTGCATCACACAGCGTACATAGCAATGGTACAACTTAGAAAAAAGAGCTCTACCTGCCGTCCAAGGAGATAAGCCTATGGCTCCTTTCGTCCAGAGCCACCACCAGGAACTAGAAAAACAAGATGGTTCCAGAAGAACTTTTCAAGCTTGCGTACCATCCAGATGATTGCGTCGAATGATCCGTAGCGTGGTGGTGCTGCTAGTGCCTGCTGCTCAGCTCTTGCGCAGTGTGTGTGTGTCGCCAGGAATCTCCACTTTAGCCTCCGACTTTCGCTTTCGAAGCCAGCTTCTTCAAAGTGCAAATTGTGGAAGCCATCATCTCCAGCTGCAGCACTGAGGCGAGTACCATTGTCTCGCAGGCTTCCGCTGTTAACGAATGACTAGTCTCCACTGAAACATGCCTCTCACAAAGTCCCAGTCGTTAGCCATTGTCGCTCCACCCGTTGCTTCCGTAAGAAACAGGAACAGTGCTAGCAACAGCGACGCGATCGAGACACGAGCTGGAAAACCATCCACCACCAGAGCGTCCTTCGTCCATCTGGAGATCAATCGTCACTTCCATGGCCAGAATCCATTCGCTGCTCGGGACGACGTTGTGCAGGGCCTTGGAAGGACTCTTCAAGCAGGGCAGTCTCTATAACTTAGTGAGAAGCTGTTCAACTGGAGCTCCTAGATCGACCGAACTTTCCCGGTGTTTTGTCAAGAGCACTATCTTCCCCGCGTCTTTCAGACTGAAGACCACAAATCTTTTGCTATAATGCATGAACTCACGGAACCCTGTTGTCGAGCATATTAGTTTAGATTCCTTTAAGTATTTTAATAGAGAGGGCCTATTAGCTCAGTTGGTCAGAGCGTCGTGCTAATAACGCGAAGGTCGCAGGTTCGAGACCTGCATGGGCCACAGTTATTTAAGATTTTGCCTCAAGCAGTGGTAACAAGATCCTTTTATTGGTCACAATTGTGAATGATGAGGACGATGTTTCTTCTTCATGTTTTTGCACATCACTACTGTGAAAAGAGAAACGTTAGTTCATATATGAACCAAAAGATATTGATTTAGAGATTCTCTCTAGAAGAGAAATATTAGCACACATTCTGTGTCCATCTCTGCATCTCAAGTTGCTCAGCTTGTGAATTTGTGATTGGAGATGGAACGTGCTAACAAATTCCATAGATTGAGTGTTGTATGCTAAACAAAGTTACAGAATTCTTCAATAGCTGGTAACTCCACACCCTTCTACTTTTTTTACTCATTTGTGATGTTGTCCCATTGGAATAACTCCCTGAAATAACCAGAAAAAAAACCACCAAATATGAGACTATGGATAACAATCAACAAATAATTCCTTTTACTTAGGAGAGGAAGACAAAAAACGAAAAGCTCTTTAAATGAAAAGCTTAACATTAAGAGCTCATTTTATTTGTATGTTATGCTTGAAATGCAATAAAATAAGGAAATTTAGCTGTGTTAGACATGGAATACATTTAGGTGGAACAAATTTGGGGATTGAAATTTTCTTAAAAAATTGGTGACTGAAATTTGGTCACCAAATATTAGGGCATGCACTGGACGTGGGAGTGCGGGTGGGAGGGTGCAGGTGTGTGGATTAAAATGCTAAGTCACTACCATATAAGTGGAGAGAAAATGAAATAGCATGTTGTTTAATGGGAGGTGACAAAACTTTCAACTTTTGGATCCAGCCACAAGTAATGGGCTTGAAATTAGAGAGTGATACAAGAACAATAAGCCACAAAGACATTTTTAGGAAACTAGAGGATTGTAAAACAATGCCTTTATGTATGATATCAATCAGATTAGAAATGAAAACCTGGAAATGTCTATGACGGTTATTTAAAATAATTGGAGCCACATTTTTCTATCCTCTCTTTGGAACCCTGGACACCTTATTATTTTTATCTTTGAAAATCCTCACTCTATTCCAGCAATAATCATCAGTGTAACCACTGTCTTTTGGAAGCACTATAACATCAACACCAGCTCCGACTTCACGCTGGATCGTGCTCTTGGCTTGCTCGGCATCCGTTCTCAGAAGTTCATCCCATCTATCTGCAAAAGATAATTTGCAAATTCAATCAGAAAATGAGAAAAAATGTGGAGAGATCATACCCTTTCTTCCATTCACATTCAAAGCACAGACAACAAGCATAAGGAGGAGGATAGAAACATAGCTATTTATCTTCCTCATTCTCTCCAAGTTACTAATATCCAGATCAATGGCAAGTTTTAAACACAAGGATGAGCTCTGGATGTATCAACTAGAGGCAATGATTAAAGCAATGCAGACTTTTGTTATTTAGCTTGGATCCAAAGGAGGGGTTTAGGGCACGGAGGCTAGAAAAATGCAGTGGTCAAGGATCATTTTGATAGTGTTCAAGGGAGAAGATCCAGTAGAGCCCAAATCCCAGATACTCGTGCCTGGACTGATCACTTTGGTGGGATTGAACTTGCCTTCAACATCAGGTGGCAGAATTTTGCCACAACTTTTCTATCTATTTCCTTCTGTCTCTCTTGCACGGCACTTGTTAGCTCATCTTCACCTCTATATAACCATGAGGTCATCGTCACCACATTCATTAAATCCTTAGCTCTATGTTCCAAAGCTACAGGGGCTTGCATCACTTTTCTGGAAAAGATTAATTTCACATCAATCTTCACCATATTTCAGTCTCTTGGTAGCTGGCCAGTGTCCAAAAGCGGCCGGTGTTCTTTAACCTCTAGTCTCCAGGCCCTTTCAAAATGTGTTTCCCATTGCCTGCTCGTGTTCCCAGTATTTCTCGAGTCCACACTTCTCGCAAGAGTAAAAAGATTCCACCGCCAGACGGAGAGGTGGGTGGCAGAAACACCCTGTTCTCTGTTTTCAACCATCTTGGTATCACTCTATGAGCAAAAACTCCCCATCATTGTCGCCCACCCATGATATCTGGAAACCACTTGGGTTTGACGACATAGGCAACTATATACACACATGATCAAGCTAGTGGACGACGTCTAGGAGGATGCAATTCACAACTTGCGGGAAGAGCCGCCCCTACATCACCACACATGGGAAGAACTCACTGTGTGCAGGACTTTTGCTGGAGTCTTGCCTGCCGAGCTGAAAAGGAAGTCTTCTCTGGTGAGCCAAACGTGCACGAATTGCAGGAGCAGGCACGTGTATTTGGCATTGAGTGTTGGACTAGGTTCTTTCATCTGCAGTCCACAAACCTCACCGCTCTAATCCATGAGCACTCTAGATCACATCCTACATACTACAGTTTTAAGTTACTACATTAAGTTGCAAAAAATGGCTTATAGAACTTAAATTTTTGTCTTTAATCTTGTTATAATTTTCAGTTGATATTTGTAACTAAAATTCAAGACACAGTAATTTTCTAAATTTAAGTTAAAATGTGTTTTTCTTATGGTTTTTTTTTTTTTTTGAAAAAGTGATTACATCCCTTGTTATTAATTTATGACTAAATTTAAAGTTAGGACTTAAAAGTTTTTTTTAGGTTTGTGAGTGCTTGGGATATAGGAATAAGTATATTAATTGGGGTTTAGACCTTTACTTAAATACAAAAATTGGATGGACCAAACTTAGTCCTAAATGGACAATTCATATGCTATAATACTATAATTAATGTATTATCTAGCTAGAGTAATATATGTGTATATATATGTATTTACAAACTTTATACTATCCTCCTCTTTGAAAGATGATAATAAATCAAGTGAAGCATCTAGAGCTTCTATTGGACGACTATAAATTACTATAAAAATTCTAAAGCTCCCACAAAACCATTAATAAAGTTGTTGATAACCATAATTGAAATAAAACCCAAAGCCATGGCATAAGCATTAACTGACTATAGAATTCTGGTGAACCAATTGCAACTCTGTATATAACTCCTAAATGCTTAAACCAACTATAATTATAATTTTGAACCAAAGTAAAGGACTTTGAAAGTTATTATAGTCCATAGAACACAATTGTAGCAAATAATATATCCCATCTCTAAGTTTGTCTGTCGATGATCTTCCAAGACTGCCATTAACTTGGACTTAGGATCATAAACGATGGTTGTGAGTCTAAGTTAACATAGACTCACTTTGTTTATCCTTCACATCCTCCTTATCCCCTTCTGAAGAAAAAAAGTTCTAAAGCACTGACTCCATCTGGACTTATTGCATTTATCTTGATTCTACCATCTATATTTGGCCTCACTTCATTATCACATCTATTTGGCTTCATTATGTTAGGGTTGGATATTTTATTTGGATTTGCTATACTCATCTTCATTTCACAATCTATATCACTTAT